AGATAAGAGTCTCACAGCATTTCCTGCCTGGGCTGGCTTTGAACAACAATCCTGAGTAGCTAGGATTATAGGCGTGAGCCATCACGCCTGACTTCAAGTATATTTTAAAGAACATAAGAAGTATGGTAAATTCCCAGACATTTACCATTTTTTTGCTATTCCTCCCTTACAATATGTATTTCACTGGGTATTGATTTGAGGGTTCACAGCTCATTTCTTTCAGCATTTTAACATGTTGTCACCACCGTTCCTGATGAGAAACTTGGTAATTTGGGCAAATCTTCCCATAGGTAATGGGTCATTTTTGCTTGACTATTTTCAAGACTTTTTTTCTTTGTCTTTAATGTGTATCAGCATGATGTGAAAAGGGTTAAGTGTTGCCATAACTCTAGCTTTTATTTCTTTTTTGGGGGGGGTGTCCGGTCATGGGGCCTGAACTCTGGGCCTGGGCGCTGTCTCTTAGCTCTTCAGCTCAAGGCTAGCGCTCTACCACTTGAGCCACAACGCCACTTCTGGCTTTTTTTCTTTTTGCTTATGTGGTGCTGAGGAATCTAACCCAGGGCCTCATGCATGTAAGGCAAGCGCTCTACCACTGAGCCACCTTCACAGCCCCTAGCTTTTATTTCTTTGACTTTGGTTTAAGGTTCATACAGCTTCTTGAGTCTGTAGGCTTGTATCTTTCACTGAGCTTGATACTTTTCAACCATTCTTTCTTCATACACAGAGCAAAGGATGTAGACAATTGCTTAACTTCCATTTGCTACTCTGGGGAGATTTTCCATCCTTTTAAAGTCTTCTATTTGCCTTATTCACAGGAACTTCTTACAAGGGTCTCTCTTCAGAATTTCATGACCTGGGACTTTCTGTGGTTTAGTGAGTGGGGAATATCAGCAGGAAGTCAAAAAGAGGAACTGGTTAGGTATTCATCTGACAACCCCTCACTGTGGGTCACATCACTGCTGTATCTGGAGGGAAGGTGACAGCACAAATCAAGCCCCACCTCCATCCACTTCCTCTGCTTCTGGCTGCCACACTGTCATCGCTCCCTTCCTCAACACAGGGTCTAGGGGCAGTGGCATTCTCTCATTTGCCTGAGTTACAGATCCCCAGTGCAGCTGTCTCCTCCCCTGTACCTCCCCGATGCCTTTTTATTTATTTATTTACTTACATTTTTTTTGGTCAGTCATGGAGCTTGAACTCTGGGACTGGATGCTGTCCCTCAACTCTTTAGCTCAAGGCGAGAGCTCTGCCACTTGAGCCAGAGCGCCACTTCTGGATTTTCTGATGGATTATTAGAGATAAGAGTCTCATAGAGTTTCCTGCCTGGAAGGCTTTGACTTTGAACTACAATCCTTAGATCTCAGCTTCCTGAGTAGCTAGGATTACAGGTGTGAACCACTGGCGCCCGGCCCTGGTGCCTTTTAACATAGTCCCTTTATTAAACTTTCTCATATTACTCACTTTGAATGTAACACCTGTTTCCACCTTGGCCTTGGCAGATGGGAGAGTTTGGGGGGCACGATTAGGTTCACTCTATTAACTTCACCATGGCTCTGTACCCCTGCCCAGGTGGGCGTCTCCCTTTGACCTTCCAACTTTTTGAGCCTCTGATTCTTCTCCAGATGGGGTATCTATCCTGTTGCTTGGCTAAGTAGCTATCAGGATGGCTGGTGCTCGTCAGAATGAATTTCTGCAGAAAGTAAGGGTTTGCTAGAGACCTGGCAGCAGAGTGGGCACCGAGGCTTCAGGTGGAAAAGGTATATACGCTTCTTATTTGTCACTGTAAGCTAGAAAGGCTCATTTCTTAATCTGTTAAAAAAAAAAAACAACCAACCAAAAAGATAAGTGTTTCTTCTCCCTCACTCTCTCTAGGAAGGAGCTAGGATGGCTGGTTGTTTGCACAAACATGTGTTACTTTTGAAATTTGTATTCCTGTGCAGAAAATGGTCCATTCAGTGATCATGGATCCATTAGTTCTACATTAACGGATACAATCAATGGCTTTCATACCAGTCTTTACCTTTATAACTTTGCAGATAACTCAACAGAGAAAGTTCTTATGTACAACTTGTATTGTGATTATACTGTTCACACAGAAATATATGTGTGTGTAGGGCTGGTGCTGTGTGTATGTGCCTTCACCAGGTGAAGACAGAGAAGGTGAACCCTAGGGATGTCTTTTTCCTTCCAGTGGGGAACAGCGATCCTGGTGTTTGAGTTACTCATTTCCTTGCTTTTGTTTTGGGCTGTGAGATGCATAGGTCCAAGCAGCGCCTCTTTGGTTTTGAAGCACTGAGCACCAGGCCCAACACTGGGATGGTCAGGAAAGGTCAAGGTGTCAGCTTTCAGGCTCCTGGGAGTCATAAGAATCCTGGTAGGGCAAGGTTAGGTGTACACTCAGCCAAGCCCAGGACACATCTTATTTGCCATGTCTGGAAAGGCTACATTGGGAGCCATGAGAAATGTGATCAGCATTCAGCTGAGCTCCCGAGTGCAGGATTAGAAGGGTAGAAGAAGCACTCTCCGGCGCTGTGCAGATGTTTGTAACTCCACCTGCAAGGTGATGCAGGATACACAGCAGTAGCGACAGTGGGAGTACAAACAGACGCATCAGTCTACCAGGGCTAGCGGGTCACACTCTCATTTTTCTCCTCAGACCTGTGTTTTGTGCCTGTTGTCCTAAAACCCTTTGGGAGACTTTTTAAAGATACACAGGTAGCCTACTTTCTGGCTTCCCCTCTGGAAGACACCCATTCTTTAAATGGTGGATTTTATCCAGTGTGATGATGGGAGAAGCTTTGACATCTTAGATTCTTTGCAAGGACAAAAACATATTAATTAGAATGGAAAAGAAATGCAAGTTCATTTAGCTATGAAGGCCAGGGTTAGCATGTCGTGATGGTGTCCTGGGACTGTTGCTCCTTACAAAATAGACTACATTCCCAAAGTACCTCATGGCCCCAGGTGGCTTCCTTAGGACCTACCATCAGACTTGCATTCTGAGCATCCGAAAGGAGAGCATAGTGAACAAAATCTCTCTCCTAAAGGTACACACACAATTGCTTCCTCTTAAGGCTCTTTGCCTTGGAACAAGTCATCAAGTGAGATTAGGAAATTCTCTCTCTCTCTCTCTCTGTCTCTCCCAGGAGTTATGGACCCAGTAAATGCCCAAAGGACTCACTCATTACAAGAGATAAAGAAAAAACAATGAAACCCCTTCCTTTCCAAGGGTTCAAGCCCCAGTACCATACAAAATAAGTACTTTCAAGGAAAACAGCAAAATGCAGGGTCTTAAAACGTTTGGGGTTTTTTTCTCTCCTGTTATTAAAATCCTGTGGTTTTGGTTTGTGGTAGAGAGCATGCGTCATCTCTGGGTGGGTGGCCCTCCACCACAGGCCAAGTTTACATTCTGAGAGGGGAAGTAGAGGTCAAGCAGTTGTCACCGAAGACTCTGAGGACTGTGTGTGTGTGTGTGTGTGTGTGTGTGTGTGTGTGTGTGTGTGTGTGTGTGTGTGTGTGTGTGTGTGTGTGTGTGTGTTAGTGGAAACTAACCCAGGGTCTCATGCATGCTAGGTAAGTACCCTACCACTTAATTCATACCACCAGGCCTGTTGTTTATATTTAGTCTCTGAAATATAGGCTTGCTAACTTTGCCCAAGCTAGCCTTGAACTCTTGATTCTCCTGCCTCAAGATTCCTGAGTTGCTGAGATTATAGGAATGCATCACCATGCTCAGCTTTTTCCCTTTCCTTTCCTTTCCTTTCTCTCCCTCCCTCCCTTCCTCCCTCTCTCTCTTTCTTTTTCTTTCTTCCCTCCTCCCTCCCTACCTCCCTTCCTCCCTCTCTCTCTTTCTTTCTTCCCTCCTCCCTCCCTACCTCCCTTCCTCCCTCTCTCTTTCTTTCTTTCTCTCCCTTTCTCTCCTTCCTTCCTTCCTTCCTTCCTTCCTTCCTTCCTTCCTTCCTTCCTTCCTTCCTTCCTTCCTTCCTTTCTTCCTTCCTTTCTTCCTTTCTTTCTTTCTTTCTTTCTTTCTTTCTTTCTTTCTTTCTTTCTTTCTTTCTTTCTTTCTTTCTTTTCTTTCTTTCTTTCTTTCTTTCTTCCCTCCTCCCTCCCTCCTCCCTCTCTCTCTTTCTTTCTCTCCTTCCTTCCTTCCTTCTTTTTCTTTTTTATGCTATGCACTATTCCTGTCTGGTCTTTTGTCTCTTGCTACAATCATCACCATCCTCATCATCCTCAGCTCCTCTCCCCACTGAGTGCTGCTTTTACTAGATCCTGTATCCAGGACTGGCCCCTGGCTGTCTTTTCCAAATTTGTTTCCTTTGTTTCCCGAATGTTGCTTTGCTGCTTGGGCAAGTCTGTGGGCCTGGGCGGCCACTGTCCCCTGCGTCTGTCTGCCTCCACTTTCCTCGGTATCCACACGCCTCGACTGCACATCGGGGTGACTTCCAGTGGACACCTGCTTTCCTGGGTGAGCCACCAGTTCCTGGGCGAGCCACCAGTTCCTGGGTGTGCCACCAGTACCTGACTTTGTATACTTATTTTTTTTTTTAATCATGGGCTCGAACTTTGGGCCTGAGCACTTCAGCTCAAGGTGATCGCTCTACCACTTGAGCCATAGCGCTGGTTTTCTGGTGATTTATTGGAGATAAGAGTCTCCTGCCCAGGCTTGCTTTGAACTGTGATCCTTAGATCTCAGCCTCCTGAGTAGCTAGGATGACAGGTGTGAGCCACCAAGCCTGGCTTTGTGTACATCTTAATACTGACAACCAGTCAAACACTCAATCACCAAATTGCCACACATTCACTTTCTTAAATCTGAGGGCAAGGAGAGGAATCTCAGCTCTCTTCCCCCTTTGTGCTCCGGGGTGTTTCAAAGCCAACACTTCTAGACTCAGATTAGACTTTGAAGCCATGGAGGGGTGCCATCGTAGCTTGCTCTTATCCTATGTTACTGCCTTTGGCCAAAGGAAATTCTCTGGAATGACAAAGCAGGAAGCCGATAGTGACAATGTGAGTGTTTATTATCAAGTGACTGCCGAGGAAGGGTGAGGAGGGGATGCAGGATGGTGAGGTAAGCAAGAGATATGAGCAAGTGCACTCTGTTGGGCGGGAGGAGCAGGCAGGGGTGGTGTGTGACCAAGGGCGGGGAGAGGATAACGGGCTTTGGGGTCTCTTTCCCCCTGTCCGCTGTTCTTCCAGCCTCAGATGCAGGTTCACCCAGAGCCAGAGGACAGTGCCAGCACTCGGGGGAAGCAGGGCTACATCCCAGTTGCTGCCAACAGCTGCTTCTGGTCCTTTTTCTAGGAGAGGCGCATGGGTGAGAAAACCCTGCTAGAGAGGCAAAGGGTGCATTCCCTTCTCTGGGGCAGCTGGATGCAGGAGGCAGCCAGATCCAACAGCTACTGCTGCTACAAAGACCCCCCCATGCCCAGCTCAGACACAGACTTCTTGGCTTTCAGGGTCTTGACTGATGTTACCTGGGCCTTAAGTAATGGGCTCTTTGGTCCTCTTTTCTGTCTCCTCTGACAGCCCGGCTATCCCGAGTGCCCAGACATGTGTAAGGAGACTTACCTCCTTCGCAAAGCACCTCGTCCAGCAGTACAGACACACAGGGGTCACAGATGCCAGAAGCAGCAGCACCCAGACCCCCAGCAGCATGGCATGGAGACTTACGTACAGAGCCTGAGGACAGAGCGCCGTGGGCACCAGGATGGTCGCCTTCCCGCCCTCCTCCTGCTCCTCACTGATCACAGCCCTCGCCCTCATCACCCCCTGATCTGTGGCTTCTGGAGAGGAGGGCAATGGACCCTGTGTTCAGGAAGCAGCCTGAACCCCTCCCCAGTTGGCCTCGGGGTTCTACAGCCTTGAGGATCAAGAGAGGGTGATCCACGGAGCCACGGCGGTACTTCACCCACTTGTTCCCGCCTGGGTGTGACTATGTTCTTTCCCACTCCTTGTAACACCCAGGACAGTGGATCCACTTCTCTTTTGCCCAGGGCAAAAGAATCTGAGGCACTCCTTTCTGAGGGGGAGCCCCCCCCTTACTTATACTGCCCCTCTGCATGGAACTTCCCCTCCTCCTGATGCCTACCTTCAGCATGTTTAGATGGGAGAGACACAGGTGTTGTCTCTCGGCTTCTGTGGGACTTGGGGTGTGGGGGGGCTCCGTAGGCCAGCCTCTGGAGTGGTAAGCACTGCAGTTATCTTCCGTAATATAGTAGTGATAATCACGGATGACATCAGATGCAATGATGATGGCAGAGAGGGCCGTGCAGAAAGACGCCAGCCAGAGCAGGATCCTTAGCAGGGCCTGGGAGAGGAGGCGGTGGGGTGACCTCATAGCCCTGACTGGGGGAAACGCCAGTGCACAGGGGACCGGTACGTGATGGCCCAGCCTCCAGCCTGATTCAGGTTCCCTACTCACAGCTCTGCCCCAGACTCACCCAGCAGAAGCCACCCCGTTTCTCATAAATGAAGGCAGCCGCTCCAGCCAGCACAGCCTGGGGAGAGAGTGAGACAGGACCAGCGTGAGCACAGGCAAAGCAAGGCTCCCCCAAGCATTTGCCTGACCCCCCCAGGATACACAGAGCCAGCTGTGTGGGACCTTTCCCACCCCAGGGTACTCTGCCTGCACCCTAATTTTGTCTTCACCCTTTGGCCGGAGATCTATGGAAGGGACTGAGTAGGGAGCAAACTCCTGAGGTCACTGTTTTTAGCGACATCCAAAATTGCTCATGAGTAACCCAGCCATGAAGTCGCTCTCCTTCTCCACAGCCTTTCTTTTTGTGCAGCACTGTGGCAGAAGCACTCAAGGCTTTTATTCCTGTCCCCTCCCCCTGGTGCTAGGGAAGGAACTGGGGCCTATGTATGCTTAGCAAGCACTCTACCTCTTAGTTATATTCCTAGCCCAGAACCTTCTTTTTAAAACAATACCCAAGCTGGGAGTTTGTGGCTGATGCGTGTAATCCTAAGGGAAGCTGAGATCTGAGGATCACTGTTTGAAGCCAGCTGGGACAGAAAAGTCCATGAGATCGTCATCTCCCATTAACACACACACACACACACACACACACACACACACACACACGAGCTGGAAGTGGAGCAGTGTCTGTGTTGCAAGTGGTAGAGCAGTAGCCTTGAGCAGAAAAGGTCAGGGACAGCACCTGAGTTCAAGCCCCAGAACTGGCACCAAAAAATGTAAAAAGTAAAAGAACAACAATCAAGCCAGCCAGGGCTTCATGAAAGTTCTGAAGTGGGGAAGGCTTGGGGCTGAAAGGCGCAGGTGTGGGGGAGGCTGGAAATGCAGAGTGAGGCTTTGGGCAGCCTCAGGTTCAGACCCTTGTCCTAACAGCTGTGCAGTTGGTGGGCCCAGCTGTGGGCACAGGAAGTCTAGCATACCCCAGTGGACACATGGGTCCAGAGCCCTTTGTTGATTCTGTACCTAACCCATCTTTGTACTGCCAGTTGGGCACGGATGGCTGCTTTTGAGTCCTGTCTCCATCTGCGCATATTAATGGGGCTTGAACTCAGAGCCCTGTGCTTGCTAGGCAGGTATAGTCTCTAGCGTCTCTCCCCTCTCCTCCGTCCAATCAGCGTGTGTGCTCTGCTGTCTAAGTAGTTGTTTCGGAGGTGCCCCTGTCCCAGCATGTTCAGCCCACTGGGGTCCTACTGTATCCACCATTATCTCTGGATCCTCACTGGAAGGTTGGGGAGATCTATGGGAGAGCCAGGAGATGACACCTCCTCCAGGATGCAAGTACTGTCTGGCTTGTTTTGTCCCCTCTATTTCAGAGCAGTGTTCTGAATTACAAGTGGGTGCTTGTTGACCATGGGGAGCAGCAGCCCGCTCAGTCCCCATGGACAGGGGACCAGGAAGCCGACCCTGCCACCACCTCCCTTGCTTCCTTTGTCATCAGTGCAAAGTTGGCCTTTTGGACCGCTGTCACTCTGCTCACAGATGGCAGGGGCTTGAGCATTGCTGTCCCCTCTGCCAGGAGGCCGGTCGCGGTGCTGGCTACTTACCACAACCCCCGTCCAAATGGCAGCTCCTGAGGATGACAGATTGGTATGCCAGAGCATGAAGAGGAACCCTCCCAGAACCCCACTCAGGACCCCCAGCACGAGCTGCACCACCTGTAAGACAGAAGATCCAACACCACACTCCCAGATGCGTAGCCCAGAGGCAGCCTTCCGCCTGCAAGCCTGGGGGGGGGGCTGCTGATGCTGAACCCCTGAGAGAGGAGAACGGGGACTCTGCGTCCCTAGACCACAGCTAGACACCCCCCCCACACACACACACACAGCTTGGGGGGGGGGGAAGACTGGAGAATGTGATTTTGAGTTAGAAGACAAAAGCAGCTCACTGTCCAACCTGGAGTGAGGCTGGCACAGGTGGGGCTTCCCTCGGCCTGCTAAGGATGGGGAACCCTCCCCCGGCCCTCCGCTCACCCAGGAGGCTGCCAGGAGCTGGGTGCTGCCCAGGGTCTGGGTGGCTTTGCCCCAGGTGGAGGCCGAGGATCTGAGCAGGGAGCATCCAGCCATCAGCAGCTTGGCCAGACTAGACTCCTGGTGGATATGGACGCTGATGTGGGTGGGCCTCGGGGTCTCGGTGGCCGCCTCGCTGCGCTCTGCAGTCTCCATGTCTGTGGACACCTGTCTGCTGCGGGGAGGAGGGGAGCGGGGAGGAAAAGCTGGCAGGGAGATTTCTTTCACAGATCCCTTGGAGTTGAGACCGATGGACACACCGCTGGTCCTGGGGTTTGGGCAGCCTTGGCTTTGGGGCTCCCCCTGGTGCCCTACAATCCTCCCCATTGCTGGTCTCTGGCCACAGGCCGCCCTCTCCACCCTGAAGTTCCTCCTGGGCTCGCCTGTGGGCCTCTTCTCCCCAGAGCCCAGACTCCAGCTCAGAACCTGAGTGGCCTCTCTCTACCCCCAGCCACACCCAGCCCAGCTGCGCTGTCACTGCTGTTTCCCAGCCGAGCCGCCAGGACCTCCGTCCTCAGGAAGTTGTCCCCTGCTTGCCTGCCCTGCCCCAGTATGGAGAGAGAGAGGGCAAAAGCCCGGTGGGTGCTCCCTCCCTCCCCTCCCGTGTTCCTGGAGGCACTACCCACACCCACGCCCCCCACTCACGCTCTGGGGGAGTCAGGCTGTGGTGGCAGAGTGGGCTGAGGAGGGGCCGGGCTAAAGGGTGCTGGGGAAGGGGCTGCGGGACCCTGCCTCACCTGCTCTCCTCTGGCGCCCAGATAGGTGCTTGAGTGCTGCGGGCCCAGGAGCTGCTGGAAGAGGAGGGCAGGCCTGCCTAAGAGGAACTTGGCCACGAGCCTGAAGGGGGGGCCTCCCCACTTTCACATTTCCAGCTGGGCCAGAGGGGGCCTTCAGGGGCTTTCCAGAGGGAGGGAGGCCACGCAGCCCTGGTGTCTGGAGAGGGGGGTTGCAAAGGGGAGCCCAAAGCACCAAGAATGAACCCTAGGGAACTGTGAAATCACCTTCACTTCCAGCCAACCCCAGGCTTTCTGAGAACAGTTGCCTTTGGGCTGCGTGTGTGTACCTCAGGGTGTGTGTGTGTGTGTGTGTGTGTGTGTGTAGTGTGTGCACATGCATATGCAGGATGGCAGTGTGCTTGGTCGTTGATTCTACATGGAGCACCCCCCTAGAGGGGCCCCTTCATGTGAGCTAATTGCCGGGAAATTTCGAGATTATTATTGAGCCCTCCTCCCTCCTCCTTCTGCTCTTCTCCCTCCTCCCTTTCTCCTACCCAACCCTTGGGGTCCTGGGCTCCAGGTCGGCTCCTCCCAGCTCGCTGTGCTCTAGCTCCATCCGCCGAGGACAGCAGGTGAGCAGGGTCCCAGGGTCAGGAGTCCTCTCTCTCTCCCTGGGCACAGGACCTTCCTTTCCCCAGAAGCCTCCATGTCCACTCCCAGGCTCCACCCTGGCTCAGGACACGCTTGGGGCCCAATTCCTGCTTGTCTGGAGTCTTAAGTGAGGGGGAGACATTTGGAACAGCGGATGTGACCCTAAAAAACAGAGCTGGGGCTGGAGAGGCCTGTGCCCAGCTCTATTCTTTACTGTGTCCAGAACCTTCCCCTTACATTCTGGGCAGGGTAGACAGCTCCGGGGAGCCTGAGCACTGAGGATCGATGGCTGAGGGATGGGGTGCTGGGCAGAGTAGAGGTGATCTTTCCCCTGCTCTGAGGCTCTGGGAGGAAGGACAGGGGAAAGGGGCCAGGAGAGCAGGGCAGAGACCGCTGCCTGGATCCATCCCAGGTTTCAAATCCTGCTCTTCAGATTTAACTCTTCCGGAGTTCAGGGCGGGGGGTGGGGGAGTGGGGGATGGGGGGAAAGGGTGCAGTGTTGGTACCCAAGGGTCTGGAGCTGGTTGGGTCCCAAGTAGAAACGTTGACTCTGTGCTGGACTCCTGGAGGAAAAAGGTGGACTCCAGAGCTGGCCTCCTTTTGGGGTTTTGGCGAGCACTTCTGAGTCTCTCCTACTTCTGTAGAATGGTCGGACTCCTTTGCTTTGGAAGCTCAGGTAGATGAAAGAATGTAGCTGCTCTGAACAGTTTGTGCAGTGACAATGGATGTTCATATGAGACTTAAGCTGTGATGTAACCAGGATGCTCATTATATATGCCTATGTTTGGAATAGGATGATTTGATTCTAAAGTATGCATGGCGAAGGCATCTAGAAAATACAGCCATGAAAATCCTGAGGAGAAACAAATATCACAGCTGAGTCATGCTCAGATTAGATATTCATGAGCATGCTAGTTTAAATTGGAGGGGTATGGCCCATTCATCAGACATATACCAATGGGCAGAATATAAGGAGGACTGCAGACCAAACTTCTTATGCGAGCTTGGAATTTGCTCCTGAGGGCATTTTCAACCAGGGAGCAAAGGATGACAAATCCCACAAATGGAAGCTATCCTTCAGAAAATAACCATCTGAATAATAATGACTACTTTTATCCTTACCTTCCAGATTATAAAATTAATTCCAGAAGAATTAGCATTTAAAAGTGAAAACTGAGGCCAACTCTTTTGGTCTGAAGCCTGTAATCCTACCTACAGGGGCGGTAAAGGTCAGGGATCACTGCTTGAGGCTGGTCTAGGTATAAAAGTTGAAGAAACCCATCTCCCTCGATGACTGGATACTGTGGGGCATACGTGGGGATGGACTATTGCTGAGTGATGCCGTTTGCCTTTCGTCCCCAGCAACCCAGGCTGGCTTGGGCATAAAGCTAGAGTCTGTCAAAAATAACCAAGGCAAAAGGGGCTGGAGATATGACTCAAGTAGTAGAATACCTACAATCTTGCAGGTAGTAGGCCTTGAATTCAACCCCCTACTCCCAGTACTACTGAAAAGAGAGGGAAGAGAGAGAGAAGAGAAAGAGAGAGAAGGGGGGGGAACTGAGCTCAGCCTGTTAGTATATGCTTGTATTCCCAGCTACATAGGAGAAACAGAAACAGGATGGCCTTGAGTTCAAGGCCAACCCCTGCAGGGTTGTAAAGACTATTTAAAAAAAAAACAACAAAGAAAATGGGTCCATAGCTCAGGGAATAGAGAGCTTATAGAGCAAACCCAAGACCAAAGAACTTCTATGAAGACCAAAACCAAACCAAACAGGAAGGACATGGGATACAAAGGAACAGTTCACAAAAGAAGAAATAAAAATGGCTCCGAACACAAGAAAAGACTGTGTTAGAGAACTGCTGCATGAAAATAGTCCTACCAAAACAGTTGCAGGAAGTGAATTAGTAGCTGCCTGGGGGGAGGAGACTTACTAGGTAAGAGTGTTAAGACAGCTTTTGTAGTGTAGAACTATTCTGTATCTTGATTATTTCTGAGGTTTCGTGTCCCGGTCAGTGGATTCATTGCTTTGGGCCTAACATGGCAGGGGATGCTCACCTCACGGAGGCCAGGAAGCAGAGACAGCAGTAGAGGTAGATTGATAGATCTATAAATCAGTTGATCCATAGTTGATCCATAGATAGATACTTAGATAGAAGTAGACAGAGGAAAGAAATAGACAGATGAGAGAGAGAGAGGGAGAGGGAGAGAAGGAAAGGGAGAGAGAGAGGGAGGGAGGGGAAGAGGGAGGGAGGAAGGGAGGGAGGGAGGGAGAGAGAGAGAGAGAGAGAAGACAAGACACTTTCAGGGTACCACTAATGACTAATGCCTTCCACCCAGACCTCACCTCCTAAGTCTCTACCACTTCCCAGAAGGATGCCAGCATCTAGGGACCAGGAGCCCTAAATGACACAGGCATCTGTGGGGGATGTTTCATATCAATTCTATTACTGAAGTAGGGCATTTGGGGGAAGAGACAAGAAGGCACATGGTAAAAGTCTCTAGAAACCATTTGCATTCCAAGTTAGAGTCGCTGTGACTGCTGTGTGGATGGGTGAGACTCTGTGCCCAGACCCCCCCCCCCCATCACCCATAACTGAATCCTTCTTACTTTAATCAGCCCCCAGACTGCATTCCCTTCGGTCATCGTCTCCAGGCAGGATGACCCAGCCCACAGTGACAGTGAACGGAGTGGACATGGACTGCGCTCAACCTCAGCCCTACCACATCGACATCCACTTCCACCAGGAGTCCACGCTGGCAGAACTGCTGAAATCCGGGAGCTTGCTGAAGCAGCTTTTCTCCTGCCCCCGGGACGCTGGATCTTCCAAGGCCAGGATTAGCTATAAACAGCTGGCAATTGGGGTAGGCACGGCTCCGCAGGCAGAGAGGGTGGGTGTTCTTCTCTTCAATAGGAGGCAAAGAAAAGGCTGGATCTCTATGAGAAGTGGGCTGGAACCCACTAATTAATAATTTGGTAGGAATTAACTTATATTACTAATTAGCAATACATTATTGATTGTTTTGTAATAAGATTAGCTGGGATTACAGTGAACCAGTGGCACTTACTATAGCTCATCGAATTTGGGAAAAGGTTTTGGAAGATTCTCTTCAGAGAGTAGGATGGAAAGGGATGATCAGTCTCTTTGATGAAGAGAGGGCTATGTCAGATAACGGCAAGCCATGAGCACAAAGTCTCTGAAGGCTGTTTATCTGAAGACTTAAGATACGAAACAATATGCTAGGCCATTCAGGGAAAGTGCACAAAAATGGCTAAACCAACAACTAAGAGGACTCACCATCTGTCAGAAAGCAGATGACACAAATGAGAACAGAAAGTAGATCAGATGACATAGGAATGGAAAGCCCTACATACTATCCTCAATAGGCAGAAGTTGGTGTGTGAAGATGGAGAAAGGGGATTCCAGTTAGGCACTGTAATCCTAGCTCCTCAGAAGGCTGAGATCTGAAGATTGTGATTTGAAGCCAGCCTAACTAGTAATGTCTGTGAGACTCTTATGTTCAATTAACCAGCAAAAAGCTAGAAATGGAGTGGAGGTATTTTTCAAGTATTAGAGTGCTAGCCTTGAACAAAAAGCTCAGGGAGAGCTCCCTGGCCCTGAGTTCAAGCTCCAGGCCTAGCAGCTCTGCCAGGCAGACATGGCAGAAGTGCTGAGGAAAAACGGCTCCACCTTGTCTGTAGGTGCAGTAGAGGGGACATCTCTGGGAGCTGAGGGTGAGTCCAGGAACGTGCAGGGGGTAGAATGGGCAATGAGTGTCCTGGGAGAGGGGAGGAGCAGCCCCTGGGATGTGAGTGGAAGTAAGCTGGGATGAATCTGGGATGCTGGCAGTGTGTATCGTGGCCAGACCCAGGGCTCTGTGACAGTTGGGTTTTCCAGGAATCAGACATTGAGTCAGAGTTAGGGTACAAGTGGTAATTGAGGGGTAACACCCATGAAATGAATAGAGAGGGGACAGGTTGCCTGGGGGTTACAGCCTGAGTAGGTCTCTGCTGGGGAGATCTCTCATAAACACTGTCCATCTCCAGGGTGTGGGAGCTGGGCCAGGGCATCTTTCACTGCCCCCATGATTCCTCATAGGACAGGCAGCTCCCCACAGCTTTCTGAATGGGGGCGGGGCTTGAAGAAGCCCACACTGATAGGCTACCTGCAGCCACACCCATGTTTGGAATGGGGTCTTGATGGCCCAGCTGTGCAGCTACCACAGAGATCCCAGAAATGCATGTTTGGATCTGAAGAGACAAGTTGAGGCCAGCAGCTGAGCTTAGCTTCAGGATTTGACAGGATGACAAGGTTAATAATGTGACTAAGGACAAACCATAGGTACCACCAGGTGGGTTCCTCAGAAAGCACTGACTTAGAGGAAAGTCATCAAGGATACACAGCCCAGGCAAGAAGGATGAAGGGAGAATCAGAGCAGGGCAGGTGGATGGATGTTACAGGAATGGAACCTTCCAGAATCAGTGTTGCAGAGAAGCTAAGGCAGAGGAAAATGCAAAGCAAGCCACATGGGTAGGGGCTGGGCAGCGGCCCTGGGGGCCCATTTCTTATGCTGTCTTACAGGTGACCCAGATACTGCTGGGGCTTGTCAGCGGTGCCCTTGGAGTGAGCTTTTACTTTGGGCCCTGGGCCCAGCTGCGTACCTCTGGCTGCGCCTTCTGGGCAGGGTCTGCGGTGAGTTAAAGAACAAGAGCTTGGTGGGAGGTACACGGTGATGGCCAGGAGAAAGTTCTACGGCACTAGGTGAGAGAATTGTGGAAGTGACCTGAAACCCAGAGATCAAGCCGGGCACCACTGGCTCATACCTGTCATCCTAGCTATTCAGGAGGCTGAGATCTGAGGATCGTGGTTCCAAGTTAGCCTGGGCAGGAAAGTCTGGGAAGGTCTTATTTACAATTAACCTCCAAAACAAAACTAAACAAAACTGGAAATGGAGCTGTGGTTCAAGTGGACAAGCACTAGCTTGGAGCAAAACAGATCAGGGATCATGCCCAGGCCTCTGAGTTCAAACCCTGGGACTGCCCCCCCCCCCCCCTTCACACACAAATAACCCAGAACCAAATGCCTTTTGCCATGAGGCATATGCCCTGAGGGGTAGGAAGAACCTGCTGTGCTGTCTATTAATTGCTTTACGGCAAGGTTGAGAGGGGGCCTCACTTGTGCCTGGATACTGTTCCTCTGCAGGCCTTCTTTCCTTGTCTTCTGAACCCTGCCCTACTTGGCTGCTGTGGAACTGTTGGCAGAAGGGGAGGGTGATGGGAGATCAGCCCAGGGGGGAGTAAACCAGAGACCATTTTCTGATGTCTTCTTTTCCCAGGCGATCTTGGCAGGAGCGGGGGTCATTATCCACCAGAAGCACCGAGGCAAACTTTCCGTGAGCTATGGGCACCCTCCCAACTCTGTCCATCTCTGTCTTCCTTCCTATATCTAATATTTCTGGTCAATTTGGGGTTTTCTACCCTTTGGTGTCCAATATCCGGAGGTCATTCCTGGAGGATTGAGTGGGTGTGAGTGTGTATGTGTGTATGTGCGTCTTCAGCAGCAAGTGGGGAAGAAGGGACTGGGCTTTGGGCCCGGTGTCCCTGAGGCTGATGGGTGGCCCCTCTCTCTTCCAGGGCTTCCTGTCACTTCTGCTCACCTTGGCCTGCATGGCCACCGCGGTGGCAGCTGCTGTCTTTGGTGTGAGGAGCTTAATCAGACAAACAGATGGCTCCTACTCCTCGGAGATCTACTCCTTGTGTGAGAAACCAGATCCTGTCTATACAACCTCTGGCTACATAAAGTTGTGGAGAAGCAGCTATGACATGGACTGGAGGGAGGAGCGCTGTAAATCCTACATGAAGACATTGATGGTGAGAACCGAGAGAGCAGTATCCAGGGGTTCATCCCAATCCCTTGCTCCCAAAGGAATCAGGGCACCCCAGGGCAGGGATGAAGGCCCTTCGCCCTTGGCCTTACCCCAGGTCTTTGACAGTTTTAATGGAAGCTGAAGCCATCTTTCAGACCTTCATACTAGCAGATTCCTGCATCTGAGGGGTTGAGGAGCCGAGAACTTACTGGCCATGCTTCTGTCTTTTCTGATGTGTAGATGTTCCTGTTGGCTTTTGCTCACTAGAACTACTCCAAAACCTAGTGGTCTCAAGCACCCATCCATTACTGTTTCTCGTGGTTCTGTGGGTGACCTGGCTCTGATAGGCAGCTCTCACTCGGCTTCCCTGTGCAGTTGTGGTCAGATGTCGGCTGAGGGATGGATGGGGCTGTGTGTGAATTTCTCATGGCTGATAGTTGGTGCCTGCCTTTAGCTGAGAGCTTAGAGCACACTGTCAGCTGCGCTTCCCATGTGGCCGGTATCCCCTGTTGAGCATTTCGAGAGGCACAGTACAAGCTTCTAGGCCAGTAAGGACTCCCTCTGTCACAGACGTACAGTTCCACAGTATTTTATCAGCAAAAGGAGTTGTAACCACTTCCAGATCATAGAGGGATGAAGAAATAAGCTCTTGGCAGAGAATGGCGGGATTCCATTGTGGGCAGACAAATGGATGTGGTGGCTGCCCCCACCCCCTCTGGCTGAGTGGGAAGTAGCCAGTAGGACACAATCTGGCCCCTGTGTTGGTTGAAAAGGTGGTTAAATGAGTAGGATTTGAAAAACGGTCTCTTGAGCCTTTCTTTTTGTGACCTTCCTTTCTAGAACCTGTTCCTGGCATTCTGTGCCCTGTTCACAGTTATCTGCATCCTGAAGGTCATCTTGTCTTTGGCTTCCCTGGGACTGAGTCTCCAGAGCTCTACGCCCCTGAACAGTAGTCGCGAGGTGCTGCTGGACACGGTAGGCCTTGGTGGTGAAATGAAGGGGCAGGGAGGAGCTCTGAGGGCGGAAGCTCTCAGCCAGGCTCAGCCAGCCTCCGTTGCCCCTGTGATCCTGTCCTGGACTGTCTGGGGACCCCGGCCTTGTCCTGTGTCATGGCTATCTTCTGCCTCCCAGGTCTCCTTAATCCTGCTTTCTCCTCCACTCAGTCCCTCCTCTAACTGATCTTCCTGCTCTACATGAGTTTCTGGATGGATCTCAACTTCTAGCTTCTTTTTCTCACTTCCTCCTTTCTTCTCTTGGTTTCAACTTCTATGAAGCTAATTCTCCTCTCCTGATTCCTCTTCCACTGACTTTTTTCACCTATGCTTTCCCCTCCAGGATGACAGGGAATCAGAGAAGAAGCTCCTGGGGGAGAACGCTGAGCATCTTTCTGCCTCCAAGAAGCTTCCAGAGGCCATCATCCCATGAGCACCCAGACACGCTTCATGAGTCCCGCACACCCTGTCCAGGGCCGGCAGCCCGGGGCCTGTCTCCAGAGCCTCTCCAGCCCCACACTGGCCTTCCCTGGAGTCTCTCTCCTCCCCTCTCCTTCTTTCCTTCCCACCACCTCCCGCCATTCTTCAACACCAATGCTCTCACTTCCTCAAGCAGACTGTTCATTCCCCCACTACGGATTAAACAGAAACAAGCAGGAAAAATAATGCTGCCCAAAAAGCTGTGGTCTCCTTCTGTTGATGCATGATTCGTGCCTGGAAAGGACTTTTCCGTGATCTTAGTGTGTGTGGAAATAGACAAGAGTGGATGTAGCACATGGAAGCGCAGTCCCAGAACACTGCCTTTCATTCTAGTCTGTCCATTTTCCTGGTGCCAAACTCCTCTTTATGAACTCCTTCCATTCAGCATAAAGGGAAAGTAACTTAAGTTTCCACCTACAAGATGACTTCAAGCACCTAGAACGCTGCCCCGCTGAACCCTCACAACTCTGTGGGACTGTCCCCACCCCTCCCTTCTTCTCTTCCTTTCTCTTTTAGTATTTTTGCTATAGCGTTGGTTCTCTCGCACCCTCCCTTCCCTCTCTCTCATATACACACACATTCATATACCCAGCACAGCCAACATTCTCATTGTAAGTGATGAAGGCCATTTGTTCTGGATGTTTTTCGTTTCTTTATGCATGTATAGCTAAAGCTATAAGATGTGATGATTTCTGAAGGGGACAAGCATGGCTTTGTGAGGGTCTGTGAGTCAGCCTCTTCCTTAGCAGCCCCACAGGAGAAGAGCTGAGCAGGTGCTCTGCTGCAGAAACGAGAGAGAGCAATGTGGCACGTGCACTAGCGCAAGTGTGGAGCTGTGCAGAGCATTGTCTTATCTCCTGGACCCCACCCACCTAGCCTTCAGAGAGGGATGTGTAAATAACAAGCCTGGACATCCAAGTATGTGCAAAATAGTGATTGGGGATCAGTCAATTACAGCCTAAGGGACAAATCTAGCCAGACACTTATTTTTATAAGTAGAGTCTTATGGAGACACAACAATGACCACTGTTAACACCTTGTCTGTGGCTTTTTGTGCCACAAGGCTGAGTTGATTTGCCATATCAGACACTGTAAGAACTGAAAGTTTAAATTATTTACCCTGTGGGGTTTTGGTTATCCTAAAGCCAGTGTTAACCACTGAATAGTTTTAGCAGAAAGGAAAAGAATCAGAGTTTTATTTGCATCTCTTAATGGTAGCTCAACAGCTCATCTAGTTATCAGCCACAGAGTATCAGCTTTGAGATGGGACCAAAACACGATCTCTAAAAGGGGTTTAAATTGTTTTCTCTTCAGATTGTGCCTGAGTCTCCACTGAGCTAGAATACACAAGCAACCAGACCTTGCAAAGATTAACTGATTTCTTTATCACTAGAACCTGGAGCCTGGTCAAAAAGAGGAAACGAGATCTTTGGGAGCAGACCCCAACGATGTCTCAGTCAGCAACCCTGGGCTGCTGAGGTTCCCGTTTCCCCCGTGGGCCTCTGTCCTCCTGTCCTCTGTTTCCATTTAGACAACATGGCTACGACCCAGGGAGGCCATGTGGGAGCAGCCCCCCCCCCCCATGGGGCATGTCTGACCCTGGGGCCGGCCAAGATCAGATGAGGAGGGAGAAACGGTGCATGGAAAGGTGAAGGTGTGGTGGGCAGGCCTGTGAGGTCTGGGCACAGGGGACAGGATGCTTCGTGCTTCGTGCAGGTCACATCCGCCCAGGGGGTGGCGCCATGCACAGCCCTAGCCTGCGGTTGGAGTGGAGGGGCAGGTGTCATGGCTTGCTATTCCCCATGATCCCTTTCTTCTCCATGATTTGAGGGAAAGCTGAGGTGATGTTCGTCCTCTCCCTGTTAACCAGAACTCCTGCCCGTCAAATTTGGCTTTGGGTTTGGAACACTCATCCTCATCAAGAGAAAAAAAGACCTTCTGTGTATGACAATGGAGAATCATGAATTTACTTACAGTTTGGGTTAAAAATGTGAAGAGAGGGAATTCCTGATCTGTCTCCAGATTGCCTGAGAGGGTGTTAGATCTTACAGAAAAGCTGTAGTAAAACCCAGGGATAAACACATGTAGATTTTGCTCTAGGCCCCAGCTACTGCATGAGGGGAAAGCCTTTCTCCTGGGAGATAAGATTTGTTTCTAGCACGTTGGCTCTTGGGGTGGTCCATTTTCTCTCCTAGCGTGGTAGAATCTCTAGGGACCCCAGTTCCTAAAGACCTGTTACAAGCCAGCCTCCCAGGGAGTATTAATAAATGTTCTTTCAGTGAACAAATGAATTCTTCTTCCTTCCTTCCTTCCTTCCTTCCTTCCTTTCTTTCTTTCTTTCTTTCTTTCTTTCTTTCTTTCTTTCTTTCTTTCTTTCTTTCTTTCTTTCTTTCTTTCTTTCTTTCTTTCTTTCTTTCTTTCTTTCTTTCTTTCTTCCTTTTTTGTCTGTCGTGGGGTTTGAACTCTGGGCCTGGGCACCGTCCCTGTGCTCTTCAGCTCAAGGTGAGCGCTCTACCACTTGAGCCACACACCACTTCTGATTTTCTGGTGGTTAATTGCAGATAGAGTCTCACAGACTTTCCTGCCTGGGCTGGCTTTGAACCAAGATCCTCAGCTCTCAGCCTCCTGAGTAGCTAGGATTACAGGCCTGAGCAACCACGGCCCAGCTATATTCTTTTTTATTTGTCATTGTTAAGTAGTTGTCTGCAGGGGTTACAATCCCATAAGTCAAATTACGAGTACAACACTTCCTGGGCCGTGTCACCCCTTCCTATGTACTCCCTCATGTCTCCCTCCTGTCCTCACCGACAAGTCATATAGTTCATTTTCTCATAGTGTACATTGAACACAATGATCGAATTTGCTCTCCCTTCCTCCCTCCGTTTCTATGCTTCCCCTTTGCCCCTCTAGACACCCGTGTTTCTGTTTCCTAGTGTTTGTTTTGACGTGTTTCTGTTTCCTAGTGTTTGTTTTGATCAACAGCACCTGATTGTTCAGAGGAGTTATGTCCTTGGATCCTCCCCTAAGTACACCCCTCTCCTTTAGTCAACGGGTATGTAAATGCAGAAAGCTCTGTGTAAATTATCATTTGATTTGCACTTTAGATCTGGCTTCCACGTATGAGGGAAGACAGGTGCCATTTGTCTCCCTGAGCCCGGCTTACCTCACTTAACATGATTCATTTTAGGACTATACATTTCACTGCAAATGATAAAATACTATTCTTTCTAATGAGTGAGTAAAATTTCATTGTGTGTGTGGACAACATTTCCTCCATCCACCCATCTATTGTAGGGCATCTGGGCTGTATCCAGCTATTGTGAATAGTGCGGCAGTGAACATGGATGTGCAGGTGTCTTTAATGCATCCTGAGTTTTAATGTTCAGGGTAGATGCCCGGGAATGCTATGGCTGGATCATAGCTCTATGTTTAGTTTATTGTTTTTGGTTTGTTTGTTTTGTGTTTTTTTGAGGAACCTGCAAAGTGCCACCCAGAGTGGCTGTACTAGGTTATATTCCCACAAACAGTGCAATAGAGATTCTCCCCCTCCCCCCACCCCGCATCCCTACCAGCATTTGTTGCTGTTCAAAATCTTGATGTTGGCTAATCTTACTGTAGTAAGATGGAATCTCAATGTTGTTTCGGTTTGCATTTCCTTTGTGGCCAGGCATGATGAGCATTTTCTCATGTGCTTATTTGCTAGTCTTGCTTCTTCTAAGAAGTTTCTTTTGCTTATTTATTGATTGGGTTATTAATTTGGGGGGGAGGGATTTCTTGGCTATTAGACCCTTGTTGAATGTATAGCTTAAAAATCTTCTCCCAGTTTGTTGGCTGTCTTTTTAGTTTAGCAACTATGTCTATTACTGTGCAGAAACTTTCTAGTTTGATGTAACCCCATTTGTCAAGTCTGTCTCCTATCTGCTGTGCCCCTGAGACTGCAAAAAGTTCTTGCCTATGCCGATGAATTCTAATGTTTCTCCTACTCCTCTTGCAGTAGTTTGCAAGTTTCAGGTCTGACACTGGTGTTTGATCCATTTAGAGTTGATACTGGTAAAAGGTGACAGGCAGGGATCCAGTTTTAGTTGTCTACATATAGACATCCAGTTTTCCCAACACCAATTATTGAAGAGGCTGTCTTTTTCCAATGTACATTTTTGGCTCTTTCATCAAATGTCAGATGACTGTAAGTGTATAGTTTTATTTCTGGATCTTCTGGTCTATGTCATTGATCTTTGGGCCTGTTTTTTGTGCCAGTACCAAGCTGATTTGGTTATTATGGCTTTGAGATCTGGAATTGTGATGCCTCCAACATTGCTTTTTGGCCTAAAATTGCTTTGACTACTCAGGGTCTTTTGTTGTTCCATATGAAATTTTGGATTGTTTTCTTTATCTCAGTGAAGAAAGCCATTGGGATCTTGATGGGAATGGCTGAATTTGTAGATAAAGCATCTCTGGCAGTATGGCCTCTTCATGATATTATTTCTACCTACCCATGAACATGGCAGGTCTTTCTGTTTCCTGATATCCTCTTCAGTTTCTTTCTTCACATTTTTATAGTATTTGCTGTAGAGGTATTTCATTTCTTTATTTAGATTTATTCCAAAATACATTTGTTTTTTGTTTTGTTGTCGGTCGTGGGGCTTGAAATATGGGCTTGGGCACTGTTCCTGGGCTCTTCAGCTCAAGGCGAGCGCTCTACCACTTGAGCCACTGCGCCACTTCTGGTTTTCTGGTAGTTTATTGGAGGGTCTCATGCAGTTTCTTGCCTAAGCTGGCTTTGAACCGGGATCCTCAGATCTCAGCCTCCTGAGTAGCTAGGATGACAGGCGTGAGCCACTGGTGCCCGGCTCCAAATACATTTTTGAGGCTATTGAAACTGAAGTTGTTTTCTTGATTTCACTCTCTGCTTGTTTATTGTTGGTATATAAAAAGGCTATTGATTTTTGTGGGTTAATTTTATATCCTGCTACTGTGCTGAAATTATTGACCAGCTCTAGGAGCATAGGGGTGGAGTCTCTGGGGTCCTTTAGATACAGAATCATGTCATCTGCAACGAGGGATAGTTTGGCTTCTTCCCATAACACGGTCAACATAACACTGGAGCCAGTACAGTGTCCACCCTTCTCCAGACAGGCCAGATGAGAATCTGCTTAATCCCCGAATCCCAGGTGATCTGTGTGCTCAGG